AATCCAACCTGAGCACCTGTTTGAGGGCATAGTTCTTCTCTACAACCTTGTGGCCATCTCACCTACACTCTCTAAGCCTCTATTTATTCATCTGTAAATTTAGCATAATGATAGTAATCTCTGCCAGCCTCCTTCAAAGCACTGCATTAATGGAAAGCTTAGAAAAGATACACTGAGGAACTTTTTAATGTGTTTCATCAGTTGAATATAATAGTGTTCATATTGGCATATTATAATAGGTATACTACTATTATTGATATTAACACAATATTGTGTTCAAATGATTGAAATAGAATTATTTAAATACTGTGCTTTAAATATTCAATAGCTTAAATCAGAATTATAATTACTTCTTGAACTTAATACACTAGTTAAATGGATATCTAAAGTGACTGAAATAGGGAAGAATATTTCTTGTTTTTAAAGAACATAATGATTTGCAAATCATAGATGATAAGTAAAAGGAAAAATAATTGGTTGAAAAACTAACAGTTGGGTACCATGCTCACTCTCTGAATGACAGGATCATTCACACCCCAAACTTCAGCATCATGCAATATGCCCATGTAACAAATTTGAACTTGTACCTCAGAATCTAAAATAAAAGTTGAAATTATAAAAAACAAGAAAACAAAACAAAGCTAAACTGAGAAATACTTAGGAATATGTGTATTATCCTCGGGAGAAGATAGGGAGAAGCTGTTGGCCATTTGATGTTCTAACAAAATTTTTTCAAAACCATAATCCCAAAAATGGCCTTGGAAAGCAACCACATTGAATGTCAATGATAACCACAGGGTTGGGCAGCATGGTTGTTGGTTACAGAGAGTCTGGAGCCAGAATGCCTGAGTTTAATTGCTAGTTATGTCACTTATCATGAAACATTAGACGATATATTTGGCATCTCTGTGGTTTAATTTGATCGGTTATAAAATGAGGGTAATCTAATTGGGTCCTTATAGTGAGTAAATGTGAAAGTATTGCTTAGAACAGTGCTTGGTGTTTTAAGTATTTATTAAATATATTTCTTAGAATGTTGATCATTAGTTAAGTTTTATTCATTATGTTTATCTCATGTTTAGTTGCTTTTGAAATTAGAAAAATAAATCAAGTAGCATGTCATCATATCTATACAATACATATTTCTTTTAAATGTTGATATCATTCAAATGTTCTGGCTTGTAGAATTTATGTATATTGTTAAAAATTGTTAATGATTTTGAATGTAATCAAAAAGATATTTTGAAGAGGAAATAGATTGGATAATTGTGATCTGTATGTTGATTTTTTTTCAAGTTAGTTTCTTTAAATGATACTGAAATCTATGCATTAGGTCAATGATTCTCAAAATGTGACCCAGGAACCCCGCAGGTGTCCATGTCTATTTCAGAGGGTTCACAAGATCAAAACTATTAATGTAACAATACTAAGATGCTATTTCCCTTCTTCATGCCCATTGTCTCACAAGTATACCATGTTATTTTTCAGAGATTACATCACCTATAGTATTACAAAAGCTGAATGCAGACATGGTTCTGGGAACTCAATTGTCTTCTATTAAAAGAGACATTAAGTACATTCACTAAATTGTGAAACAGTGCTACTCTTCTTGCTAATTTTCTTTTGTTTTTGAAAAATGTTATAATAGTATATGCCATTCATATAAACATGAATTGTTAATACCATACATTTTATTGAAGTAATACATAAATATTTTTAATTTTTAAGATTTTAATTCTTTAGATTATTACTAATAGATATGACTGGCTTAAACAAAAGCTCCCTGGCATCCTTAATAAGTTTTAAAAATGTAAAGGGGTCCTGGAACCAAAAAAAAAAAAAAAATTAAAATTTCTGCATTGGACTATCTGTAGTCTCTTAGAAATTCATCTTAAGCAAGGGGTATAATGGAGTTGTGCAAGTCTGTGGAGCAGCCAAGAGGAAGGCTCAGAATCTTCCAGGCCCTCCAGCACAACCTTCTCTGGGTGAAGGGAGCAACTAGCTTCTGTGTGTTGTTTCTTCCAGTTCCAGAGCCACTGATAGAACACATGGACAGGCCATGAATCAGAGACCATTGCGGTTCTCTGTCTAGAGTCAGTGAAAACATGGATTTAAGTGACATTTTTCAACCAGAGCTTCTGATATTTGGAAGCTGGCAGCAATACATATTAAAAACAGTAAGTAGGCACAGAGAGAAAAGTGATATGAAAGTGTAAATATTTGATGTGATGATACTCAGAGATTTAAAAATTATATTTCCATTTTGAAGAAAGTAGTTTTTAGCATTGGTTTACAAGGTTGAATTACTATATATTTTCTTACAAGTCATATACATGTGTTTATATATATTTGATAGCTCAATATAATTGCAAAAGTTAAATTGCTTTCTTTTGAATTGAGAGGCTGCTGGGTTCAAATTTTGGGAGACAGGTACAAGTGAGCACAGGCCTACCCAGGACCTTCCGGTTCTACAGTAAGACTTTTAATATGGTTAGAATATTTGTCCACTCTAAGTCTCATGTTGAAAGATAATTCCCAATGTTGGAGGTAGGGCCTCATTGGAGGTGGTGTTTGGATCATGGAGAGCACCATCTGCTTGGTGATGAGTGAGTTTTTACTCTAGTAGTTCATGTGAAATCTTGTTGTTTAAAAGAGGGCGGCACCTTACCCTTCTTTCTCTTGCTCCTGCTCTTCCCATGTGACATGTTTGTTCCCCCTTTGCCTTCCTTCATGATTAGAAGCTTCCTCGGGCTCTCACCAGAAGTAGATGCTGGAGCCATAGTTGTACAGCCTGCAGACCTGTGAGCCAATTAAACTTCTTTTATTTATAAATTACCCATCCTCAGATATTTCTTTATAGCAACACAAAAATGGCCTAATATACCAAATTTCTAGCATTAGCAAGGATCCATTCCCACAGAGTTGGCCCAGTTTCCCAAAGACATTTCTTCATTCAGGCTCTCTCATATTTGGTTATATTATTCTCTGATGTGGACCAGTAATTAGGCTCATGTTTGGTTCCACTCTGCAACACAGGGATTGCTGGCCTATGCATTGTAAGGGAGACCCATCTCCTCTATGCCTTACCCCAGTGCTTTCTTAGCACTGAGACTGTCAATCTGCCTTACCTCTGGCCTCTCCCAGATCCTGCTTGGAAAATTGCACCTATTCATATGAATTATTTTTCAGAAACCATATATACATTACCAAAATTTAGATGAGAAATGATAATGAAAGCATGACCCAAGGCATTCATTCATCATGAGGCTAGACCCTCTTTCTTTGGATGCTAAAGCAGGCACCTGGGAAAAACAAAATGCCAACCCAAACCCTGAAGAAATGTCACTAATTAATTGAAGGTGTATCACTCAATTCAGAATTGAGACATCTCCAGCTGCATTTTCAACCAGATGCTCTTTCAGGCACATAGTGTTACTACTAGGGAGAAACTCTACAGCCCTGATTCTCAGAATAAGTCTATTGAAATATCAGGTGGGAAGCCTTCCAGGTGTGAGATCATATTGCTAAAGAACTGGAAATGAGGGGCAATTCTACTTGATTTAGATATTTATATAGCTTGTTAAGAGAACCTTCTGCCAAAGACACCCCCTCAGAGTCTAAAATATATATATATATATATATATATATATATATATATATATATATGTTGAGTAGGTGGACAGAGGCTTGATTTTTCTTTCCCTTTGAGGGAAGGCATATGCATAGCTCCATAAGCCTGGAATACAGTGAGTCAGGTAACTGAGATAACATTATATTCAGCACTCTCACACTACCACAGGAGTCACTTTTTTATGTGTTATACATTTGCCGTTTCCCATTGACTAGAGCAATTGGCAATTCCTATGAACTAACTTAAAAATCTGATTTTCTCTTTAACTAAAACATAGTATAAAATCAAGATCAAATATCTGTTCTGCAACTGTGGAAATGGCTTATTTCCATAAATGTCTAGGGAGTATAATAGTTTGTACCCAGGTGTAGTTATAGAACAGTCGCTGAAAAATGGTAGTTTTATTGCCTAATATATCAACCTTCCACCCATGTTAATTGCCAGTGACATTTTGGGTTGTTTTTCAACACTTTAATGAGAATTACAGCTTCTTAAGGAGTCTTGCTGTATCTACTATCCAATTGAATTTGATGTCTCAATTATTGATGTCTTGGCCAGTCGGTGAAGGAAGCCCAACCTCCAGTGGGTGAAATAGCAGCTAGGTTAGGCAGGTATTTTGTTTAATTTTTAGCTATAGCAAAACTTAAGAGTAATTATCAAGAATCTTGTAAAATGAAGTATTAACCTTGGATAGGCATGTGTGTACAGATTTCATGTCTCTATACCTGAGGACATTAACTCCTAGGGTAATTTATTATAAGACACACTGAAATTTAAGTTGTATAAAAACAAGTTATCAGAGGAAGCTAAGAGGACCCCCAGGTTGAGGAAATGCACTAAACCTTGGCTTGATATATACTGAGGAGGGAAGGTCATTGCAAAAAATATTCCCTGCTCAAAATGTGACCCGTGGACCTGTAGGATGCTGTAGCATTGGCTTCTACCAATAGCTTGTCAGAACTGAATCTCAGTCCCCATCACCCCCCGCAGACCTACTGAACCAGTTTAACAAATTTCCTGTATGATTTATATAGACATCGCAAAACTCTGTAAACAGGGGTTGGTGGTGCACCTGTGCTCAACTTGGGCTGTAGAACACCAGCTGACATGATAAGTCAGGCAGCTGGGATTCTGACACTGTCAATCCTCAACATCAGGTAGGGACCAGGTTGGTGTCCCACCTAGATCTTGCAGTTTGGAACCAAAGATCTCGATTAATTATCAAGGTTTTGAAGGCAAAGGAAGTCAATATCAAAGAAAGAGAGGATCCATGCATAGGGGATGCACTATGGCCAAGAACCCTGTCAGGCTTTAGTTCATTAAATTCAGGACTACAGACCAAGATGAGTGAGTCATTGCCCATTTTAAGACATCAAGATAAAATGGCCACAAGACCACAGCCATACAACTCTTAAGCAAGAGTCCTGGGATTACCCTAAGGCACATCAGCTGTCAGTCTTGGGGACCGCATTTCAGATTCCCTTCACTAGTGGAAAACGGCTTCTCAGGTGCTTCTGAGCTCGTGGCCTGGGTGATGGGCTTCCACTGAGTCCTTAAAGCCTAACTGACAAGGATTAATGTCCCAACATATTCACTTTAAAGTGGAGGAGTGCAGCAAACTCAACCTAATAAATAACATCCCTAAGAAACCCTAAGAAATTTTTGAAAAATAAGCATCCCAAATTGCTATTTTCATGAATGAAATGGGGGAAAATGATGCAAAATACTAGTGGTTTAAGTGTGGTCAAACTTGGCATGATCCCATGATAAACATTTATAATTTTAATGACATCTAAACTGTAGTAACAACCAATGAATTAGTAAAGCTTGAAATTATATAAACTCAATTTGATTCAGAGTTTGTCATGAGCAATTCTAATACTTGTGTATTCTTAAGGAATTACCTTTCAATTTTTTTCTTTTAAATATGTCAAGCTCTTAATAATATTGACTTTCTTTGACTGTATCATCTCTTTAAACCCTTGCATCAACACTGTGAAGTAAATATTTTTAGCCTCATGATTAAAGTTAGGCTTAGAGAGGTTAAGTAACTTTCCCAGGGCCATTCAGTAAAGCACAACTCTTTCAGAAAACTTCTGGAAATTTTCCAGTTGACTATATCTGTTTCCCAGGGATTTTGAATCTCATTATGTAGGCCTTTTATGAAGTATCAAATCTTTTAAACAAAAAGGTTTTCTTTCTTCAGTTACTTATTTATTCAATTACTTCTATCTTATAGGTCCTGGGGACCTATAGGTGAAAAACTGTCACAAAACAATGTTTCTTTAGCTTTGATCCCATTCTGCAGAGAACTCTGGTTTTCCTCTAGTGTCAGCAAAACATTTCTGGGAAACACCAGAGGTTTTATCCTTTGCACTCTGAATAAATCCCATTTGCTACCATGGATTGTGTGACATTTCCTTCCTTTTAAGCTTGGGTTTTCTGCAGTCACTGTGGATTAGTAAGGATAAACAAAACTTCCAGAGTAAATACAACCAAACTTATAATGGCTCAGTGAAACATAAGATTATTCATTTCACCATAATATAGTTCAGAGTGCTTCCAGGTAAAGCAGGCGGCAGGAAGATAGGGGTTTTCTCCACAAAGTTATTAAGGGATTCTAAATAACATCAGCTTTGCTATCTTTAACATGTGATTTTTAAGGTCTTCCTGAGGGTCACCTGTCCGATCGCCTAAAAGAAGAGCATATGACTTGAGTACATGTGAGAAGTGTTCTGGGGTCAGGCCTGGAAATGGTAGGATAATATCCTCTACATTTCATTGGCTAGATCTCAGTCACATGACAAACAATTTCTAGGCCGCCAAAGAAATATGATTTGTCTTGTGCGTCGTAGAAGAGAAGGAAATGCATTTTTGGTGGACAGCTAGTACTCTCAGTGAAACTACTCATGCCCCAAATTGAAGCCATGGTACCAGCATGTAGCAGAGGCAGTCACTGCTACTGCTCATGTTTATTTATAAGACCAATTCCCCTGCTGACCATCATCAGCCAAGACTAGGATGCCCATTTCCAATGAAAATGTGACATTCATGCATCTATGTATGCTGTTGACTTCATGCCTCTACCATGTTCGGGTAAGCTTTTGGAGACTGGATGAAAAAAGATGATTAAATTTCCACTGCGGCTTTACTAAAGACCCCTTGCCTGGACATATATTTAAATGCGAATATGTTGAAGGAGTGTCAGCTGGGACAGGGGTTTAAACTAATAGAAGTTCTACTCTGTATTGCCCTCCAAATCATGCTTCCTTTCTGATGCTTGGGTGAAGCAGCTTTTGGCTCAGACTTACACACTTGCTTAATATCTTCTAGGCATTTGAAGAGCTTATGGCCTGATGCATATACAAAAAAATCGCCCAATCAAATCTCAATTTTCTACTGTTTATTCTTCTTTGTTACTTTCTCACTCTCTGTTTGTTTGAATTCTACTACCAAATTGTTTGTCCCTTCCCTTTGATTCTGTTACTTGTACTGCCTATGTAGTCAAGATTTCAGTGTTATGATGAAGGCCCAGCTGATCACTTAGCATGAGTAGTCCAAGAAGAATATAAGGAAAGTTCTCTACTGAAGGGCCTGTGAAAGCTTGTTGCCCCATGGGGCTGGACCGAAGCCTTATTATTGATCTTATTGAACGGGTCACTGTTGGTTAGGAATGTGCTAAAAAGGCTGGAGTTAATTCCAACAAACAAATACTGTTTATAACATGGGCTCATGAGATTATGGTGGAAATGTCACGCTCTGTATTTGCATTTGATTATAGGAGCTACCTTTATTTATAAAGAAGCATGCTGTAGTAAGAATTCTTCGCTAGACATTAGAATTGCATTCAAGTTTCTGTTGATCCTACTTCCTGTATGACCTCGAAGCCATTAATTAACATTGCTTGGCTTTTTTTTTTTTTTTCTGTTAAGATGTTGAAATAATACCTACTTCACAGGCTTAATTTCAGAATGAAATGTGATAATATATACGAAGCACTTAGCACGGTGATCCCTTATGATCTCTGTTACTACTATCAATAATTGGGAAAAATGAGACATAAGAAATACCTTCATTTTTGCTTTTTATATTAGCCATGTAAATAAGACTATCAAGTATTAAATATTACATACTGACATATATTGAATATATATGTCTGTTTTAATACATAGGAATATATAGTTCTTTAAGTTTATTTTTAATACTGACAATTCTACTATGAAAGTTATAAACCTTTCATTTACAAGTCATTTTAGATCTTTAAAAGAATAATTTTTGATAATTTGTAAAACCTAGACTTTCTTTCAGTAGATGATTTTTATTCCAGAACTGGTTTTTGTTTTATGTCAGACTCAGGACACATTTGATTTATCCTTAGGTTGTTTTCCGAGGCTTTAAAGAATCAGAGCTGAGTGGAAAAATACTTTTTGGAAAACTGATTTTCCAACTAAGAAACCCAAAGTGATGGATTGCTAGAATAATGGCTGTAATATATACTGAGAATACAAAGGAGAAACATAGGTTTTTCAAGATGAATTTGGGTTCTTAAGAAGTGAGTCTGTGTTTTATTATTTTTCTGCATATAAGAAAATTTAGACTGTATTGTTTCTGCACGAATTCATAGTAGCCCCTGTCTAACCTATCCAATTTTAATATGAAACCATAAACAATATAAACAATATCATGGTAATAAGTTTTTTGTGTTCTCCAGTCCAGAAAGTCTTTGTTGCCATAACAAGTTTGATAATTATTGAAGCAAAAGTACAAAAGTTTCTCAAAAATCATTTAAATGGTAACATTTAAATATTAAGCACTAGTAAGAAGAAACTAAAACAAATATTTAAATATCTCCATTGTTAATGGTTATTTTAAAAAAATTCTTATCCTCACAACTGGTTGCTTATTGATGCCAGTAGCCACAAAATAGGTAACACTACTATTATGCTAATCTCTTTGAATACATTAGTTTATTTAATATTTTTTATCTTTTACAATTATTTCCTACATCTAGCAAGATGTCGAGATTCTAGCTGTAGACTCTTGCCTCTTTCTCCATTCCTGAGTCTTAATTCATATACAATTTCTCTCCCTATGGCCCTCAGAAATTTTGTTTAGACCCCCATGTGTTCTTACTCCCCGGCTCCATCTGCTTTTACACATTTTTTAAAATAAGGTGCCTTTGGGCCCTACCATGGTATCATGGTCATTGCCCCTCAAAAAAAAAAAAAAAAAAATCTACATTTGATGTCTTTGACAATAGACAAATGATTGTATGAAATGGATATCCAATTTATTTTTCTTTTTTTCTGTTTTCCTTTTAATTTATTTATTTATGTTTATTTTTTAGAGATGGGTTCTTGCTATGTTGACAAGGCTGGTCTCAAACTCCTGGCATTAAGTGATCTTCCCATTTCAGCCTTTCAAAGTGCTGTGATTACAGATTTGAGCCACCATGCTCAGTCCAATTTATTTTTCACGATTCCAAAGTTTATGCATAGATGCTCTAGCTAAACAATAATTTCTTCTCATTGAAAAGAAAGCCTCTAACTCACCTGATATGGAACAGTCTCCTGTGTGTAGTGAACTTACTCACTATGGAGGGATTGATGCTTTCAGAGGATCACTTAAACTATGAGATGCTATGATGAGTATATCCTTGCACTACTAAAACATGCATATTACCTCTCTTACCCCATTAGGTGCAACATTGGTCAAAACCTGACTTGCAATAGCTTTGGTACTTAGTCTTTTAGCTCTGTCTGACTGCTCTAGAGTATAAGGTCCTTGAAGATAGGATTGCCACCTTATAAAACAGAGTTCCACAACATAGTATGTTAGAAATAGGTTGGAACTTTTAGTCATATTAGTTCTGTTTGAATTCTAGTCCACTAGTTGTTTGCCTTTGTGCAATTCATTTAACTTTTATTAGACTCACTTGCCCATTAGGTACAGTTTTTGTTTCTTAACTTTCCAAATTGTTGAGAGGCTCAAATGAGAAAATAGTGCCAATACGGTTGATTAATTTTATGATGATTATTAGTATTGTTACTATTCCTGGCATAGAATAACATGAAATATTTAATAAATAATAAATAAACATATGAGTGAATTGATTAATTAATGAGTGGTATTCAAATTACACTTTTAAATGTATGTTTAAATACATGTGCTATCCCATTTTCTAGGCCTAAATATAATGAACATGCTTGCTTGCAAAATGAGCCTTCTCCTGCCTTCCCAGAGAGTCTCAGACAAATCAGTAAGAGACAAAGACCCAGAAGCTGCCTCAGGAGCCTCCCATAGCAAGTGACTGCTGTTGTTCCATTTTGGGCTTGAATCATGAGAAGCTGGACCAGAGTAGAATTGGAAATGGAGGACCAGTAGGCCAGGATTTTCTTTTAGGGGGACTTGTGATTGGCAGTTCATTGCAGATAATAATGAGAAGGGAGAAGATTTTGATAAGGCACACATGTGAGAAACTGAGAGACTTTGGGTAACTTTAGTGTCTACAAAGTGGCCACTCCCTGTTTCTCAAGATAAGAGGGGAAGGTTTTGCCATTTCAGGCTGGCTGGGCTCATTTTGTTCAGAAAGAGTCTTAGATGGAGAAAAAATTCCAGCCCTGAGGAAAATGCATTCAGCAGTCCCTGGCAGGAGGGTACGGGTTGGTAGCTTAATCAACTATAGGCCACACAGAACAACAACAATAAATGGATTTTAGGGGTTTGTTTTTACCTACTAAAAGAAATTTACTCCGCTTCTCCTCCTCTCTACCTCTCTCTGTAAAAACTCATCCTCACAGTGGGTGTAAGAGAATCTGAGAATGAAGACCAGTGTTTCGCAGTGCAAATCCGACAGTACGGCTTGCTTTGATAAGTCAGTGGCAATGCTCCAAGGGAAAAGACTGCAGAAGTCAAAATATAAATATATTTAGTGACTTCAAACCCCATTGTTTCCAGGTCCCTTTTGCTTTTTTCCAATTACCTGTCTCTCATTTTTGAGGAAACTTTGCAATGCTTTGACTTTTATTGTCATTCTTCCCCCATCCTGTGGCTTTTCTAACACCTGCACTGCATCGTCTTTCAACGCTTTTGGTTTTGTTTCTTTGCATGATCATCCCCCCTTCTCCCTCCTTAACATATGGATTTTAACAAAACCAATTTTCAATATCGAGTTTAAAAATCTGAATTTAAAGAAGTAAAAGAGATCTTCCCAAATTTTAAGCAATGATAAAGAAACAGCTGGAAATGTATACAGAGTGTGTATTTTTGTGTGTGGGGGAGGGGTGAGGATGATCCAGAGACAGGTTAGATCTAGGAAGGATTTGTCAATATACATGAGGTTAGCATAAAAGGAATATTAGCTTAAATTTCTGTAGATAGCCATTTTCAAGGATGTGTTAGAACAAATGCAGAATTTCAGAGGAAATAACAGATAATTCTTTCATGGCCTTTGAAACTCCTTGCACATTTCTAGCTTGTAAAGAGAATGAGATTAGCTTTTTATCCATACAGTATCTGCATCTATCAAATATTTCTATATTTATAAACCTACAAATTTACAGGTCTGAGCTTCTGTGTGAATTAGAAGCAGAGGCAAGTTTCTTCTATAAACATACAGGTCTGGGCTTCTGGGTGAATTAGAAGCAGGAGCAAGTTTCTTCTTAAAACCGAACTTTTGTCACCAATTTGATGTAATTTGCTACTAAACTGTGCGTCTTTTGCTTTTTATCTCTCTTCTCATGTGCTCTTAAAAGCTACTTGTGTGGTGGCTCACGTGTAATCCCAACACTTTGGGCGAGTGAGATGGTGGATCACAAGGTCAGGAGATCGAGACCATCCTGGCCAACATAGTGAAACCCATCTCTACTAAAAATACAAAAATTAGCCATGCCTGGTGGTGCTTGCCTGTAACCTCACCTACTCAAGGGGCTGAGGCAGGAGAATTGCTTGAACCAGGGAGTCGGAGGTTGCAGTGAGCCAAGATCAAGCCACTGCAATCCAGCCTGGCTCAGTGAGCTGAGATCACACCACTGCATTCCAGCATGGCAACAGAGTGAGACTCTGTCTCAAAAAAAAAAAAAGAAAAAGAAAATCTACTTGGCTACTTGCTTTAATCTATGACAGCGACCTTACAATGTACTTTATAATGCATGTGCCTTGATGATAAGATGTGATTTGTGATCTTTCTAGGCTGACAAATGAATCTCCTAGAGCTCTACCGTATTACTACAGTGGTCTGAGTCATGGTGATTGGAATTTTTTAAATTCATCATTTTTATAGACAGGCCTGAACAACCTAGCATGTGTATTTTTAAAAATTTTACTCAAAATTAAAGATCTTATTTTGAAAACTGTCCTTGTACTATAATAGCTAGCAGACACTTCAAATATTTCTCTTTCATGTAGACAAATCTATACGTTTCTCCTCAGAAAATATAGATGTCAATGCCTGCAGATAAGCAATCCAAATAAGTTTAATGGAAGACAGTTTTGTGTAATTAAGTCATGACTCTTTTCCGCCTGGAGGAGGGCTCAAAAGGAAGGAAAACAAATAAGCCACAAATGGGAGAAGGGCACTATGCATGCCAAGGATGTGCCTGCAGAATTCAACATTCCTTCTGTAGCCTTTGATTATTCAACTAGTTCATATCTTTTGGACACATGACATTGAGAAGTCTGATTAAAAAAAGAAAAAGATAAAGCCCACCATAGAATAGCAAGAGAACCAGGCAAATGTAATGTGACCAAAGCCAAGCGGAGACAGTTTCACCATGGAGGAATGGAAGGATGAAGTGATTGTCTATATCAAATTATGTTTAGAAAAAAGACAGGAACATATAGGTGACCATTTGCTTTGCAAAATACTGTATCTGGTGACTTTGATAAGATCCACTATATTGGAGTGCTGAGTATGAAAGTCCAGTTGAAAATGATGAGAAGAGGCCAGGCACAGTGCCTCACGTCTGTAATCCCAGCACTTTAGGAGTCTGAGGTGGGCGGATCACCTTAGGTCAGGAGTTCAAGACCAGCCTGGCCAACGTGGTGAAAATGGTGGTGCACACCTGTAAGCTACTTGGGAGGCTGAGGAGGCAGAACTGCTTAAACCCAGGAGGTGGAGGTTGCAGTGAGCCGAGATTGTGCCACTGCACACCAGCCTGTGCAACAAAGAGAGACTCTGTCTCAAAAAAAAAAAAAAAAGAAAAAAAGAAAAAGAAAAAAAAGAAAATGAGGAGAAGAAGAAAACTGAAGGTCGGTAGGTATAGCAGTGAGTATATTCTAATTAGTCAGGGATATTTTTCTGAGAATAATTGAGAACTCGAATAGTGGCTACAGAAGGAAACAGGGCCAATTATACATACATATGTACGTAGGGGAGGACAAAAGTGAATGTGTGAACTTCAAAAGGAATACGCTTTTTCATTTTAATATGAGGAAAAGCAAAGTTAGTAGGTAGAGATGCTTGCAGGTTGATGGAACTGGTGGTGGAAAGGTGAAGCTCTTTGCTTAGTAATGGATGCAGCTAGGTCATTAGCAGAGAGGAGACCGAGTAGCAGCTGGAGATTTTAAGAGAGGGGATGAGCAATGGAATTGTCATCTCAGAGAGTTTTAATGTTCAAACCAAGTCTAAAGTACATTGAGTACAAAGGCAATAGGTATATATTTATAAATAAGAATAGTTGGAGGTTATAAAGAACTAATCAGGTCAAGCGCAGTGGCTCACACCTGTGATCTCAACACTTTGCACAGTCGAGGCGAGTGGACCACTTGAGGTCAGGAGTTCAAACCAGCCTGGCCAACGTGGTGAGACCCTGTCTCTACTAAAAATGAAAAAATTAGCCAAGCATGGTGGTGGCACACACCTGTAATGCCACCTACTCAGGAGGCTGAGGCATGAGAATCACTTGAAACCAGGAGGCGGAGGTTGCAGTGAGCTGAGATTGTGCCACTGCAATCCAGCCTCGGCTTCAGAGAGAGATGGTCCTGAAACCAAAGAACAAATCAATCCAAACACGAAATGAAAGGGAAAGTAGTGGTATAAAGAATGATATTAAGCATCTTAATTCGTGCCTTTAAAATGTATAACTAAAATATCTCAGTGCTGTCCAATGTAATACGAAAATACTCTCTATATTCTCTACTTACAATATATATATATTTTTAAAGTGATGTTCAGGTGTCCTCTGATGACCACCGTATTTCTGTTTACATGATTGAATTCATTGTCAAGCATCTAGTATGAATTTGGTGAAATTTTTGACTTGTAGTTGAGATGCTTCCCTTATTGCCAGCACCGATAGAGGGTTTGTCCTATTGTTAAGTGCCTTTGCCTATTTCAGTACCTGCAATTATCAGGGAGAAATGAACAGAGCTAGAAATCTGCACTCAAGTGTTTATCCTGTCTGGCAGTGGTCATTTAAATCAGTGATTTGATTTTATCTTATTGAAGACATATATTAACATCTATAAATTCTGGGAAAAAATCTATTAATTATAATTTCCTTGGCCTATTTCAAACAGCTGAATTGTTTTAATGTACTCTTGTAATCCTCTTTTTGGAATATGTTGTATTGTATAGTTACACAAATTTGAATTTATAAATAAACCAGTGTCTTGTTTATTCATTTATTATTTTTTGAGACACAGTCTTGCTGTATTGCCCAGGCTGGGGTGCAATGGTGTGATCTCCGCTCACTGAAACCTTTGCCTTCCAGGTTCAAGCAATTCTCCTGCCTCAGCCTCCTGAGTAGCTGGGATTTTAGGCATACAGCACCACCCCTGGCTAATTTTTGTATTTTTAGTAGAGACGGGGGTTTTACCATGTTGGCCAGACTGGTCTTGAACTCCTGACCTCCTGATCCTCCCACCTTGGCCTCTCAAAGTGCTGGGATTACAGGCATGAGCCACCGTATCTGGCCGTATCTCACTTATTTGTTAATAATTTCCTAATTTTTATTTTAGATTTAGGGGGTACATGTGCTGGTTTATTATAAGAGCGTGATACTGAGGTCTGAGCTTCTATTGATCCCATCACCAATATAATGAACATAAAAACTTGTGTCTAAAAAATGAATAAATAATAAAAGGTAAAGTGGTATTCGATCTTAGTGTATGCAGTTCTTTTTAGGCATTTTGTTATTAACCAAGTTTTAAATGTCTAGTCCACAGTGTGCTATCTGTTTTTGGAAATTTGCCTGTCACTGTGCTTCTTCTCTGGTCTGCTGGGTTTCCAAAGAGATCTGTGGTAATAATTCTTTTAAAAAAAATTTATTTTTATTTCCATAGTTTTTGGGGAGAACAGGTGGTATATAGTTATATGAGTAAGATCTTTAGTGGTGATTTAATGCACACATCACTCTAGCAATGTACACTGAACCCAATTTGTAGTCTTTTATCCCTCACCCCTTTCCCATCCTTTTCCCTGAGTCCTCAAAGTCCATAGTATCATCCTTAGGCCTTTGCATCCTCATAGCTTATCTCCCAGTTAATGAGTGAGAACATAGGATGTTTGATTTTCCATTCCTGAGTTACTTCACTTAGAATAATAGTCTCCAATCCCATCCAGGTTGCTGCAAATGCCATTAATTCATTCCTTTTTATAGCTGAGTAGTATCCCATCATAGCTGAATAGGAACAGCTCCGGAGCGCAGTAGGCGAGTGATCTCCCCATTTCCAACTGAGGTACCAGGTTCATCTCAATGGGACTGTTTAGACAGTGGGTGTAGCCCAAGAAGGGTAAACCAAAGCTGGGCAGGGCATTGCCTCACCCAGGAAGTGTGAGGGGCTAGAGAACTCCCCCTCCTAGCCAAGGGAAGCCATGAGGGACTTTTCCAGGCACTCCAGCTCAGATACTGTGCGTTTCCTACGGTCTTCACAACCGGCAGACCAGGAGATTCTCGATGGTGCCTACAAACACAGCTCCCCTGGTTTTCAGCACAAAACTGGGCAGCCATTTTAGCCCACACCTGGAACGCCAGGGAGACAGAACCACTCATTCCACTGAAAAAATGGGGGCTGAAAGCCAGGAATGAAGTGATCTGGCTCGGCGAGTCCCACCCCCACAAAGACTAGCAAGCTGAGACCCATTGGCTTGAGATTTGTGGTAATGATTCTATGCTTGCATTCTTGTTACCATGTTCTGTATCCATGGCTTGCTTAAGATTCTTACTGGAGGTTAAGGAATAGCATAAATTTCATGTCACAGTATAATGCTGTTAATTTTAGGGAAGATGTAACATACTGTTAAAGAATGATTCTCTACTTACAGTATGAGTGGAAAGTCTTATATATCTTATATTTATTTATTTATTTATTTATTTTTGAGACTGAGTCTTACTCTGTGGCCCAGGCTGTAGTGCAGTAGCACGATCTTGGCTCACTGCAACCTCCACCTCCCAGGTTCAAGCGATTCTCCTGCCTCAGGGTCCTGAGTAGCTGAGATTACAGGTGTGTGCCACCACACCTGGCTAAATTTTTTGGTATTTTTAGTAGAGACGGGGTTTCACCATGTTGGTCAGACTGGTCTCAAACTCCTGGCCTCATGATCCACCCGCCTTGGCCTCCCAAACTTCTGGGATTACAGGTGTAAGCCACTGTGCCCAGCTGTATTTATTGAATTATTATTATTTTCAGTCTTGGAGTTGAAGATAAGTAAAACTCAGTTAAGACCCAGATGCTACCACTTCCTAACTTAAATAGATATTTGTAAAATTATCCAAGCCTTTAAATAGAAAATGAAAATAAGAATAATTATGAAATATAAAATCTATGTTCACCTAATATGATTTTTTTGAGAATTGAATGAGAGCATATATGAAGACCCAAATGCAGTTCCTGGACACAATAAGTGTTCAATAACTATTAGATATCTGGGTTTCCATCCTCTTGATAAGAAATGGACAAGGCCATTCTCATATCCCAATTCTGTGATACACCTGGGCGAAATTCTGCATCTTGTCAGCCAACATACCTTAGCCATTTATTCCTGAAGGAGACCTTTGGAATGACAGGAGGGCACATGAGTTTGACCATGGTTCTGTAGTGCTTGCCTAAGGAGACGATGAGACACAATCAATTCCAGTTTGCCTGTGGCAAAATAAGTTAAAAAGTTGAAAATTGGCCGGGCGCGGTGGCTCAAACCTGTAATCCCAGCACTTTGGGAGGCCAAGGCGGGTGGATCAGGAGGTCAAGAGATCGAGATCATCCTGGTCAACATGGTGAAACCCCATCTCTACTAAAAATACAAAAAATTAGCTGGGCATGGTGGTGCATGCCTGTAATCCCAGCTACTCAGGAGGCTGAGGCAGGAGAATTGCCTGAACCCAGGAGGCGGAGGTTGCGGTGAGCCAAGATTGCGCCATTGCACTCCAGCCTGGGTAACATGAGTGAAACTCTGTCTCAAAAAAAAAAAAAAAAAAAAAAAAAAAAGTTGAAAATTTGAGTTGATGAATAGGAAGTAGGAGGGCAGTCAGTCTAACAAATTGGTAAATGTAACTAGCCCTTTGGGTCTAATATTGGAATCTGGTACTTGGAAGATGTATTGTTTTGATTTTTGTATGTACATTGTTGTTCTTTTCTGATTCAGTAAATTCTGTGTTAGCTATGGTAAGTGAAACAAAAGGAAAGCATTGGTGCAATTTTGCCCTCATGGGAATTGGTCTACTTTGTTGAAGCTAGCTTGAGGTGTCATTGGGAATGTGGATGCTAGAGCCCCACTCTCGGTCAGTACCATTTATGTAACTGACCCCAAATTAAAAATAGTTACTCCCTCTTTTTTATTCAAACCATTTTGTATCCTGAGTAAGGTGGCTTCTGTACGTGCCCTAGAAAGATTTTCCTCATTTGTATAGTCACAAAGGCAAGCGTCTCAAAACTGGGCATCTTTCAATACCACTTAAGCCTTCCTTTACGGTGTAGCAAACAGCTGAGAGGAAACATGTGGTCAACTCTTAACTGTAGTGCCGTCAGAAATCCCGGTCTCCATATTTCCTGCGGTGTCTGCCCTAGTACTTGCCTTTTAATTATGGCCACCCGCAGTTTTACCTTTGAAAGCCAATGTTTGATGTGCAAGACTAAGCTTAAGAGAAAGCAAAAGTTGATGCTATAATAAATTTGTTTCTGGAAAAAAAAAAAAAGAGTCTCCAGCAAAGTTATTTTTAGATAATGTGTTTACTGGTTATTCATGTGAACTGTGTCAAAAAAAGTTACCTTTATATAGGATTAATTTAAATAGAATATTTGGATAAAATAGACACCACATAAAGGCAGAAGAGTTGCTGTTTCTCTATACACATGGCATTGGATTTCATGCAAATGGTATATTTGAAAGGAAAGAATATAATCATTTAAACAAAATAGCCTTTTTAAAGCAATTTTAGATTTATGGAAAAACCGAATGGAAAACACAGAGTTCTCATATGACACTTAACTGCCTACCAGTTTTCCCTGACATTAATGATGTGCATTAGTGTGTGGTACATTTATTATAATTGATAGGCCAATATCAAAACACTATTATTACCTCAAGGCCATAGTTTATGTCAAAGTTAATTGTTTGTGGTATGCATTCTATGAGTTCTGACAAATGCATAATGACATGTGTCCAATCATACAGACTAGTTTTACTGTCACCAAAATCCCTTTTGTTCCCACCTGTTCATCCCTCTTTCCTTCCCCTGAACCCTTGGCAAACTGATATTTTTAATATCTGTGTAATTGTTATTTTTTTTCCAGAATATCATATAGTTGGAATCATATAATATGTAGCCTTTTCACACTGGCCTCTTTCGCTTTGCAACTGTGTTTAAGGTTTCTTTATATTTTTTCGTGGCTTGACAGCTTACTCCTTTTTATCACTGAATAATATTCCATTTCATAAATGTGCCACAGTTTGTTTATCCATTCATCTATTGAAGGCCGTTTTGGTTGCTATCGCATTTTGGCAATTATAAATAAAGTTGTTATACACACTTGTGTACAGGTTTTGTGTGGACAGTTTTAAACTCATGTGAGTAATTACCAAGGAGTGCAATTTTTGGATCACGCTGACATTATATGACTTTAAGACATGCTATAAAACTACAATAATCAAGACAGTGTGGTGTTGGAGGAACAAAAGACAAATCAATAAAACATGATAGAGAACCAAGAAACAGACCACACAAATATAGTCAACTGATCTTTGACAAAAGAGCAAACACAATTCAGTGGAGAAATTATAATTTTTTCAAAAAATGTTGCTGAAACAACAGAATATAACAGGCAAATTTCTTTTTCTTTTGTAGTTTTCTTTTTCTTTTTTCCATGAGCTAATGCAAATGTCATTATGTTTTGATTTCAAATCCCTATTGTTTATTGCTGATATATAAGAAAGCAATTATCTTTTGTATATTAACTTTGTGTCCTGGAACTTTGCTGTACTTGCCCAATTCACAAATAGTTCTTTACTGAATCATGTCATCTACAAATACAGGTTATTGTTTTTCTTCTCAGTATGTTTACCTTTCTTTTCTTTCTTTTTTTCTTGTATCAGTGGGTTAGCTAGGACCAGTACATTGTTAAATAGGAGCGGTAAAAGCATACATTCTTACTTTGTTACTAATCGTAGTGAGAAAACATGTAATTTCTCATCAGGTATGTTGTTAGCTATAGGATTTTTTGTGGATATTCTTTACCAGTTTCAAAGTATCCCTCTAGTCAAAGTTTATCAAGTTTTTATCAAGAAATGGTATGATAAATATTGTTATCATAACCATTCATGATGTTGAATATTGTTAAATGCTTTTTACTGCACCTACCAATATAAGAATTTTTCTTTAGCCCGTTGATGTGATAGATTACATTAACAGATTTTCAAATGTTGAAGTAGTTAGTCTCCCATACAGCAATAAATGGTACTTATTTGTGGTATAGACTTCATTTTACTGTAACAGGGGGTTCAATTTGCTAATATTTTTGAGAATCTTCACATATTCATAAGAGGCATTAATATGTATTTTTCCTTTTTTCTAACGTCTTCATTAGGTTTTGATATTAGGGTAGCACTCCTCTCACAGAATGAGAGAGAAAGTATTCCTTTTGCTTCCACTTTTTGAAAAATATTATAGAGAATGGATATTTCTTAAACTAGTATTTCTTTAATTGGTATTTCTTCCTTAAATGTTTAGTAAAGTTCACCAGTGAATCTGTCTGATCTTATTGCTTTCTGCTTCAGATGATATTAATTATTGATTGGATTCCTTTAGTAGATATAGGCCTATATGGATTATCTATTTCTCCTTTTGTGAGGTTTGACACAGAATTTATCACAACACTCTTTTATTATCGTTTTAATATTCATGGGATCATAATGATGACATCTCTTTTATTTCTAGTATTAGCTGTCTTTCTTTTTCTTAGTTAAATCGGCTAACAGTTTATGACTTTTATCAGTTTTTTCAAAGAATCAGATTTTTTCTGTTGATTTCCGATTGTCACTTTCATCAGCCTCTGCTCTAATGTTATGTATGTATTTTCTTCGGCTTACTTTAAAATTAATATGCTCTTCTTAGTTTCCTAAGGCATGATCTTAGGCTATTGGTTTTAGATTTCCTTTTTTTCCTAATATATGTATCAAATGCTATAAATTTACTGCTAGGCACTGCCTTTGCTGAATCTTATAAATTTTGATAAGGTGAATTTTTATTTAGTTTAAAATATTTTAAAATTTCTTTTGAGACTTCTTATTTGATTCATGTGTTATTTAGAAGTGTGGTATATAATCTTCAAGTGTTTTGGATTTTCCAGTTATCTTTATTGATTTTCAATTTAATTTCATTATGATCTGAGAGACTACTTTGCATGATTTCTATGTGTTTAAATGTGTGTGAATGTGTGTTTTATAATCCAGAAAGTGATTTATGTTGGTGAATAAATAATCTATGCTATCTTGAGAAGAATATCTATTCTGATGTGGTTGGATGAAGCATTCTATAGAAGACCATTAGATCTACTTGATTGATATTGCTGTTCATTTCAACTGTGTACTTACTGATTTCATACTGAAAACACTACCACAAGGTTAACAAGAATTACAAGCCTGACATTAGGCAGAATTAGAGTCAGGCATTGGACAGGGTGTGCTGGTACACTTTGACCCACTTCCCTGCAGCTGCTAAATAACCTAGAGTCACATAGCACTAACCACCTGCTTCTTCATTGTTCCTATAGATAGAATCTCTGACACCGAACATTTTTACCCAAAAATTGCTAAAGGTGTTCTTCATATCCTGAATTTCAGTGGTACAGCTGACACCAAGCTGTCTGAAAAACCCCACCAAGGAACTGACTCAGCACCAAATGGTTGTTTCTTCATCTGCCTGTCCTGTGACTTCATTCCTCACTTCTTGACCAATCAGCAATTCTACACGCTAGCCCATCCCCCTACTCAGCCCCTAGAAAACCCATTCCCAGACCTCTTGGGGAGGCACATGTGAAGTTCCCTTCTGTCTTCTTGTTTGGCTGCCCTACAATTGTTAAATGCTTTCTCTGCTGCAACTCTCACTGTTTTCAGCGTATTGGTCAGTTACTGTAAATGAGAAATCAAATCTGGTGGTTCTGTAACACTATCTGTGCATCTATCCATAATTGTTACAAGAGTATTGAAATCTTCAACTATATTATGGATTGATGTATATTTTTATTGCAGTTATATCAGTTTTTACTTCATGTATTTTGACACTGTTGTTGGGTACACACACTCTAAGGATTATATGTCTTCTCAGAGACTTTACCCTGTCTTCATTATATAATGCTCCTCTTTATCACTGATAATTCTCTATGCTCTAACGTTGCCTTGTTTGGAAATTAATATAGCTGCTTCAGCTTTCTTTTGATTAGAGTTAGCATGTTACATTTTTCTCCATTCCTTTACTTTTACTTTATCTGTGTCCTTATAAAGTTGACTTCTTATAGGCAATATACAATTAGGCCTTTTTACCCCACTCTGACAATTTTGCTATTTTAATTGATGTATTAAACGGTTGATATTTAAATGATGCAATAGTTGAATTAATATCCATCTTATTTGTGACTGTTTTCTATTCATTGCCCTTGTTATCTTTCTTTTTCTGCCTTCTGTGGTTTTAACTGAGCTCATAATTGATTTCATTTTCTTCCTCCTCTCTTAGCATATTATATTCATTCATTTCACTTTTCCATGAGTTACAATGACCAAATACTTTGTCATTATTATCTTGACAAACTTTAACCTGAAAGATCAGTAAGAATAAGAATAAGGAAAAGGAAAGATTTTATCTTTATTCCTTCTTCGTGCCCTTCCATTCTTTGTATAGATCCAAGTTTCCAACTTATACTGTGTAACTTTCTTGCAAGGCAGATCTACTATTAATAGTAAAAAATTTCTTCAATTTTTCTTGGTCTATGAAAGTCCTAACTTCTGAAGACTTTCATTCTGAATAACAGTTTATTTGATGCAGATTCTAGGTTGGTGGATTTTTTGTTTCAGTACTTTAAATTCTTTCTTGTACAGCTTCTGTTTAATGTAGAAGAGGAGTTTAATGGTGTTTATCTTTGCTTCTTTATACGTAAGGTGTATCTTACTTTTTTCAAGATTTTCTCTTTGTCTTTAACCTCCTGTGGTCTGAACTTGATAGGCTCCAGTGAAGACTTCTGTGTCTTTTTTTATTTTTATTGTTCTTGATGTTCTCTGGGCTTTTGGGATCTTTGGTTTGGCTTCTATTAATAATTCTGGAAAGTTCTTAATTATTATTGTTTCAAATTGTCCTTGGTAATATAGCATCTCCTGCTCTACTAGATCCCTATTGCTGCAGTGGTAAACTGTGTGGGGAGGGAAGAGTTAGTTTTATAACCCTATGGGTGGATATTATTCTTAAAATGAGACCGTGTCTCTGGGCCGTCACTTTCACAATTTGTTCTCAATTCCTCTTTCCTTTTAGGTGGGAAAAGAAGGCTAGAGGGATCTGGAGTTGGGTATTGCCCTTCCTCCAGGCCAGCTAGCCTCTGGTAAAATAGTTTGTCTTAAGGACAGGCCTTGTTAAGCATAACAGAAAGGTCTGTGTATTTCAGATGGCTACTTCCCCTGCCCCCCAACTCTCTCTCTCTCTCACACACACACACACACACGTACACACACAAGTAGAAGCACCAAGATATTTTACTTTGAAGAATAAAGCCCCCTCAGGACTGGGCTTCCCTGGTGTTTTTAACTCTCAAACTTATCCATACTGAGCCTTAAGTAATTTGTCATTTAATTTAAAGGTTCTTACCCTGCTATCCCCCTTGACTTTAATTTAAAAAGAAAAAAGTACTGGATATCATTATGTAATAATG